GCACGGAGTATTGGTATTTTATCTAAACTACGGCATTTTGTTGAAAAAAAGACCCTAACCCAATTGTATTATTCTATTATCTATCCATTTCTTATTTATGGGGTGACAGTCTGGGGCAACACATACAAATCCAACTTATCTTCACTGGTTACCTTACAGAAAAAGGCTGTGCGTATAATAACCTTTTCGAAATTTGATGAACATAGCTCTCCTCTTTTTAAGTGTTTAAATTTATTAAAATTCCCCGATATTGTATATTTCAAAACGACGTTGCTTTTACATAACTTCTATTATGCAAAGCTTCCGACAAACTTTAATGACTTTTTTAACCCAGTTTGCGAGCAGCATAGCCACAATACTCGGTTAGCTTCTAAGTCAACTTACTCTCTCCCTCCAGTTCGTACTAATTATGGAAAATTCAATATAAGATTTATTGGTACTAAGATTTGGAATAGTATTGATGAATCTCTAAAACATCTTTCCATTTCTAACTTTAAAAATAAATTAAAACTCCAAATAACTAATAGCTATTAAGTTCAAATATTTTTTTGGTTTCAAAGTATAATATAGATATATATCTTTGTTATGAGCCTTCTTTCTTTTTTCTTCTTTTCTTTCATTTTGTGTATGTTTTGTGGTTGTCTCAACATTTCTTGTTAATTTATGTCCGTCTGTCTAACTTCTTCAATTAATATGATTATTACATTCTATTATAAAGGTCACCTGTCTTGATTAGCCCATATGGTTATTACAGGTGGCCTTCACTCTCTACGTATAATTAAAATTAATAGTGATTTCTTGTAATATTCTTTAAGAGTGAAAATAAATTTTGTTGTTGTTATTCCAATATATTCCACAGTCAATACAAAGCAAGTCGTCTTTTGCTTTGGCTATACAGTAAATCCAGATCAGTGAAAAACGTCTGATCCTTTAATAATAAGACTTACTTGATGTGATGTTTGCAAGAATTCCTAGGAAGCAGCTGGATAATAAACGGCTGCAAAACTCGCTATGTGTCCACCTTTTGAAGTGGGTTAGTACTGTGCGAAATAAGGGGCATCAATACTCTTCGAATGAGAACCACAACTAACTATGGAAGCATAATCGCGCTGATTTGTGTTTCGATCGTCAACTATAGGTTCGTGATGAAACAAAGGCCCTCGCTTGTTGTGCCGTTTGGAGAGTAGGAGATGAAGATATTCATTTGGCCGAAAAACAAATTTGCTCCAAAAGGCTTCAGTTAGACGATAAACTTGCTGCCGTCGACGGCATACAGTTTTTCATTTCATGCATAACGCTCGTGTAGAACAACTCTACGCGATCAAACACCGACGGCGATGAAGCAGTCCCAGCTGGCCGAAACCAAACCTATCCGGGCATCGCGAACTTCATGGTTATCGATAAACAGCAAAGTGCTCGAAGCCAATGGTATTTGCAACACTGCACGAAGCTAACATGGAACCGACCTTCACGGAAATAAAGACTCGTAATAGCGCTGCTATTACAAACGAAGAATTGGCAAGCAAAAAAGTTGCCCAAGTTGTAAAAGATCACGAAAGGACCTAGTGGAAATGTCCAATCGTTTTTGTTGTGTCGCATGTGGAAATGTAGAGGAGGGAGACCACAATGAATGACCATCAGCCTACCCCCAAACTCTGTGTCGCCTTGTCGTTGTTCAACAGGCTTTGTTCGGTGCACCGCTAGCCGAGGCACGTGCCTCCCTGACTGCAGACGGATTGCGTTGTGATTTTGCAATAGTACCGAGAAATGTTAGAAAACAAGGCCTGGTAACTGCGCCAAGCAACATCACATCCACATTGCGTTACATTGGACTGGTAATGGAACGTTGCGATCACACGCTACATCGTGGTTTTGTTTCTTGCAAACCAGACAGCGCAACGCTCACGCTTGTCAAGATGATGCAAGTGGAAACGTACATGAACAAATTACTTGGCAACAATGCGTTGAGAGAAAGAATCCTGAAATACATGGGCAGAATCATACAACTATTATCTCACCCCGCTTGCAAAATCATTGCCCAGATCGAATTCCACACTGATTACATTGAAGTGAGCGGGAGCCATTTCTTTCGCATATCGTCGCGGAGCTTTACGGACTGTGTGCCTGACTTGCCTTTTGGAAAGATCTCACCTCGCGCGTTTATTTCCGTACGACCGTACAACGCTACCACAACCTATGTACTTCAAGACTGCTATTATCAATTCGTTTCCTGAGTTGAAATTGAGAATAGAATTCCTGAACAAGTTTTACCAATGCCTTGCCGGTCGACGAATGCCGCAAAAAGTACGAAAGTTGGTAGCGTGCGGACCTAGTGATTTGGGGAAAACATCATGGGCATGTGTCCTGCACAGAATTGTGTCATCGGGATGTATCGCTTCCATTACGAAAGAAAACTGATTCTCCACGTCGATGATAAACAATTAGACGGAACTTGTCATTATCGATGACTGGTCGAAGCAAATGATGGAGTCCGACCTTGCGAAGATGCTTTTACACGGGGGATGGTTTGTCACACCCGTCAAATTCAATCAGCCAAGATGTACTTGGAACAACAGTCCATTTTATATCACTACTAATGCAGTCCCAAACTTCGGAGATGAAAATGAGAATGTCCAGCGTCGAATCGTGGTCTTTGAAACAAAATCTTTGCCCCAACTAACGCCAGGCGTCGACAAATGGATACACAATCACGCGATGGACTGTGTGGTTTGGATGGCAAACGAGATCAACTACAACATCCATCACGTGCCAGAGAACTAGAGGTGGTACGAAAATACAGACATTCAAGGGTCTGTCATAAATGATGACGACATCGCACGGTAAGATATTTAAACATAACCATTTGAACATAGCGAAATAGACCGCATAAGAAAATATGCATTCATATATATTCATCGGATCAAAGTGTTGGAAGATTAAAGCAAATATGAAAAAAGGGGAGTATATATAGTTTACACAGACTTTGAAATGGAAATTTAGAATATATATTTTTAAATATATGAATTAAAACCAAGTAAAATTGATTAACGCATGCGATAGGCTCTTGTGTAGTTCAACATCCTATGATTTCTGTCTAATGACTACATTTTAGTTTGAATACTTTCATTAGCAATATTTCTCTTCCGCTTTAGATCCCTATTCGACTCGACAGTTGTGAACAACATAACTGTGGAGGACCTACAAGAAATGAACGAGCAGAATCACTTGCTCCGCCTGTGCCCTCCTGCACTGTCCATCGTTCATTCGTCAGAGAAGAGGAACACCGCCGACTCGAAAATGCTAGACGCCTACGCTGAAGTTTGCCGCTGACCTCATCCGCGTCGTTAGAAGCAAATTTTACATTTGTTGAGAGGAAATCAAACAAATACGGCGAGAGATCCTCGTTTAAAAGAAAAGGTTGCGACGAAGATGAACAGTCCGATGAAGAGGATGACAAAGAAGAGAAACAGGGTGTAGATGAAGAGGAAGAAGAAGTAGAAGTACAAGTAGAAGAAGATGAGGATGAAGATGAGGATGATGATGAGGATGATGATGATGATGATGATGATGATGATGATGATGATGATGATGATGATGATCATGATGATGAAGCAACAGGTGAAGAAGCAGGTGAAGAAGGAGAAGGAGAAAAGGAGGAAAGAAACAAAGAAATAAAAAAGGAGAAGTGGAAGAAGTAGAAAGCAACGGTTGGATAGACGTACCAGATAATGGATGGGTGCAGAATGATCAAGTATAGCTGGCCAAAGTGTACGAGCACATCAAGTGGAGGTTTGTTAGAGATCATCCTGTGCATTTCTAAAACAACATGTAATTTTCGCACCTTTTCCTTCCTTACGTCCCGCAACTTTTTCCCATTAGGTTTCCAACAGAGCACTTGCCTCAAATATCAACACTCGCATTCGAAGCAGAACGTGATGCAGCCAAGAGAAAGGAAAAGGATTTTTACACGAAACCAGATCCGTACATTGATGCGTTGATGCTGATCACCAGTTGCCTTCGCGAGGTATTCGATGTGGAGAAGTTCGTGTTAAAGTTTGTGGACGTGGAATATTACGTATTCAGCGCTTGCAAGTTCCTAGGTTGTCGTATCATGTATGACGGCTGCCCAATTGTATGGACGAAACAAAGACTGGCAGTTATAAAAGACCAAGCTGCCGAAAAATCTGAAAAGAAAATCCATCAAGGGCGCGCAGTGGTCTGATCGTAAAACGCTGTGGACATCGCCAGTAACTTCGCATAATAAAACTTTTGGGTGAAAACGTAATGAACGTAAATTTATTGTGAACTACTGATATGATTATTTAACTATGATTTAATATTACCTTACTTACTTAATAGTAAGTAATAGGCAATAGTAACCCTTAAAAAAGGTGAAAGGGAAATAGAATCTCGCATGTAATATCAATAGAGGCCGGTAATAAGAGCTGGGCTGAATTCAATAGAGACCGGGCTAACCTCCATAGAAACTGTGTTAAAAGTTCAATAGAAACCAATATGCCAGAATATATTTAACAATTAGTTGCCTCAGGCGAGGTGATTACAAGCCTATATTCGACTAATTGTTTTAGTATAATTTCAGTATTGAAAAAGTTTTATTTATAAATACAACTGATACACGTGTTAAAACAGCTTCGGATCAACAACTACGTGGTCGAATCTCTTAAACGAGGTGCTAAAATCATGAAGAAATCATGCTTCAAAAACGAACAGTGTAATACTAAATGATTGAAATCTTAGTGTTATTAATTGTTGATGTTAAACGTAAACGAACATCCTTGGAAAGTGCCACTTGGAAGAATGGATGCAGGACTCACACCATGCGTTCGAAGGATGTTTGCTTCATTCCTGCCGAAGGAGATTGTGCTGTTTTAAACAACTGGACGGCTTTGTACTGAAGATGACAGAATTATTGTTGGGACGATCAACGAAGATGAGGTCGCTGCTGTGGTTTCTTCGCCATGAACAAAAGAGCTGAGCGTTTAATACATGTGTTTGAATTGGTTCAGAGTTGACCTTTCACAATAACTTTCTATACTTGTGTCGCTTCTGTGGCCAGTTACCGCTTTAATTTTCCGCGTTTCGACGTTGTTGGACGACAGGATAGTGACCGTTGTGGCTCGAAGCGAGTGGTTGGTGTAATACGGCAAGATGACAGCCCTTTCACACATATTTCTCAACATGTTGTCAAGCGTGTTATGACCAATTGCCTTCTGCTCGTACCAAATCGTGGCTTGGTTTGGGTTAAACTTGGCTGTGAGATCTTTTGGCCGCTGAAATAGATTATCAATCTTTGGGTTAAGATGACTGAGGTACGCTTTGATGGTCTTCACTGGACATCTTGGCAAATTTGATATGGCGAAAATCTTGCCATCCGAGTGGTCTTCGGTGCCTTCGAAGCCGCCAGTGTGATTTTTGCTAGACAGTACCGTTCCGGGTTCGTCTTTGTTGAGCTCGAAGTATTCGTCTCCACCATTTGTGATGCAAAGATGTAGCATGGATTTCTTCAAAGCACTCTGGTTTTCACAACCTCGTTTGCCAAAATACGGGGAAATATAGAACCAAACTGTTTGCATCAAACCGCGAGGATTACTTGTTTCAGCGCTGGCTAGTTCGCCTTTCTCGAAGAGCTGTTGTACGGCTTCAGCAGTCAAGGGATTTTTGTGCACTGTTCCTGCAATTTTACCACTACCAATGAGGTGCTTCAGGTACGCATGTAATGTTTTATTTGCTTCATTAAACACAACGGCGTCACAAATTGAAAATGTTTTATTGTGGGGTTCTGACCGAAGATGGCGATCCAAGGCTGCCCAGATTGATATCAAGCTTGTTTTCTTGTAGTTTGAGCCATCTTTTTTCCTGGCAGAAACATAGAACTTTGACAAACATTTGTTCATCTCAGGAATTTCCATGTCCTCAAATTCCGTCACAAACTTGTTTTGTTGTAAAAACCATTCTGTTTTAAAAAACAGTCCAAAAAGACTTTGTAAATTTTACTTTGTCGCTCCTAACAGTTTTGAATTGTAAAATAAATTGTTAAATATACGTAAAAGAGTCTTTTCTTACCTTTAAATAATTTCACACCATATTTTGTTGCCTGCTTTGTTTTCACAGGGATGACAGAGGCTTTTATGTTCTCAATTTCTGCTTCCGAAATTTTTCCAAAACGATTTTGAGTATTTTCACCCATGTTTTTTTGGGGGGAAAGCAATAGTTACTGCTCAGACTGCTCTGAGCAGTAACTATTGCCTCAGAGTTACTGCTGAGGGAGCCAATCAGAATGCTCAATGGCCATTTTTCAATACTGAAAATATACTAATCCATTTTACTTGATGTTCCTTTTCAACATTTAATCTTTATACGCTTATGCTACATAGGCACCATGCACTTGCCGAAGTTTGTATAAACCAGTTTGTGTGCAAGATGTAAATTATTTAAGGCTACAAGAATATCATATTCTTCCTTAGGTTATCTGTATTATTAAAAAGAGAATAACTTCACATATAAATTAAATTAAAATGATATACATCTTGAAATAAGGAAACATTTTTTTCTAGCATTCTATATATCTTGCATGAAGTTAGCCGGGAAACTATTGAACTTAGCCTGGTTTATATTAAAGTTAGGCCGACATCCATTGAAGTTATAGCCCAGCTTCTATTGAATTTACCCTTGTATTTATTTTTATCCTGGCTTATATTTAATTTCCAATTTTAAATATATTAGAAAACCTCGAAAAAAAGCAATCTGAAATAAAATAGGATGGAGACAGGCATAAAAGCAGGCTAATTAAAATAGAAGCCGCGGGCTAAGTCATGTAAAAGCCGAGCTAAATTCTATAGAAGCCAGACTAACTTCAACAGAGGCTGGGGTAACTTGAATAGAGGTCGGACAAACTTAAATAGAACCCAGGCTAAATTAAATAGAGGCCGGGCGAACTTCAATGCAGGCCGGGCTAACTTCATTAGAATTTGAGCCAACTTGAATAAAAGTAGGCTACTTTCAACATGCAGACTGAACTTTTCCTTGCCAGATTTTTTTCCCGGCTTTTTATGTAATATTCTTTTTTTTACATTCAATCATGATGCTAATGCTACTTAGAAACCAGTGGAAAAATTTGTTAAAATGTACGTTTGCAAGAGAATAACTTCGCTTATTTGGAAAATGATGCATCTTGAAAGATGGAAATGACTCTTTCTAGGATTCTATTGAAGTTAGCCTGGTCGCTATAGAATTTAGCTCGGCCTCTATAGAATTTAGCCCGGTCTGTATTGAATTTTAGCCCGGCTTCTATAGAATTTAGCCGGACTTATGCTATATTAAAGTTAGCCATGCAGACATGCATCCATTGAAGTTAGCCTGTCTTCCGTTAAATTTAGTCTGGCTTTTACTCCACTTATGGTCTAAATTCTATTGAAGCAGGGCTAACTTGAATAGAGACGGGACTAACTTCAATACAGGCTAGGCTAAAACTTCAATAGACGCCGGGCTAACTTCAATGAAGGCCGGGCTGACTTCAATAGAGGCCGGGCTAACTTCAATAGAGGCCGGGCTAACTTTAATAGAAGCCGGGCTAATTTCAATAGAAGGCGGGTTAATTTCAATAGAATCCGAGCTAACGTGAATAAAAGTAATCTGATTTCAACAAACAGAACTGTGCTATGCCTATGCCAGATTCTACTCCGTTTTCTGTAATATTCTTTTTTACATTTAATCAGGATGCTATAATGCTACTTAAAAACCAGTGGGAAAATTGATTAAACTGTACGTGCATGTGCAAGAGAATCGAACTCAACTAAAGTGCAAAACGATCGATGCATCTTGAAATAATGAAACGATTCTTTCTAGCATTCTATTGAAGTTAGCCCGGCCTCTATAGAATTTAGCCCGGTCTGTATTGAATTTTAGCCTGGCTTCTATAGAATTTAGCCGGGCTTATATGCTATATTAAAGTTAGCCATGCAGACATTGAAGTTAGCCCGTCTTCCATTGAATTTAGCCCGGCTTTTACTCGACTTATGGTCTAAATTCTATTGAAGCAGGGCTAACTTGAATAGAGACGGGCTAACTTGAATACAGGCCAGGCTAACTTCAATAGACGCCGGGCTAACTTCAATAAAGGCCACGCTAACTTCAATAGAGGGCGGGCTAACTTCAATAGAAGCCGGGCTAAATTCAATAGAAGCCAGGCTAAAATCAATATAACGCTAAAAGAATCGTTTTCATATTTCAAGATGCATCATTTTCCAATTAAGTGAAGTTATTCTCTTGCACACGTACAGTTGAACAAATTTACTCTTCAAGTATATACACTATTAATTGCACTATTAATTTAGGGAGCCTAAACTTAATTAATAACTTGCACTATTAATTTAGGGAGCCTATTCATCATACATGCAATCAGGACAGAAATGTATATGTTTTTTCGCTGCACATTTAGGGATGCGTCACATACATGCATAAGTAATTTCATTAGCAGTTATTGTCTGTGTTGCGTATACATAATAAGGAGCTTAACTATATGTCCCCAGCTGTTTTCCTTTTATGGCACATCAGCAGACAAGCATTGAGTGGAAACGTGTTCCAGGGGCTTTTCGAAAACCCCGAAGACTTCATTTGGAAAGAGATAAAGAAGGATTCTTTCATTACTCAATTCCAAATTGTGATAATAAAGCCTTTTCTAGTCAAAGAGGCTGCCGAGAGCATGTAAAAGTAAAGCATTCATGGTACACATACTTTGAGAATAACCCTATTATTGGAGGAAGCCATGAAATACCATCTGATCAAAGGCAGCCGTCTTCAACGCCAAGCAAGGCAACACTGCCATGTTGTGCCACAGATTCCGAGCTAGGACGGTCATTTTGTGTCTGGCTTCAAAGCACGATCGGCGGGGGAAAACAGCCGAGGCAAGCCGAAAACTCGGTGACCAGAGCATTTAAATTCCTAAAGTACTGTTGCAAACAATCAGGCAAGGATGAACAATCGGTGTTGTCTACGGTCGAACTTGTCGATTACTTTTTATGTTCTTCCAGATATTTAACCGACTTTCTCAATCATTTAGAAAGTGCTTGGCAAATGGGACAATCTGGTCGCCTTGGCTACGTGAACGGTATAGCAGACCTCTTAGATTTTCGTCAATTTCATTCACCTGCGGGACCTGTCCTTCAAAACTTTTCCGTTACAGAAGTATATATAAAGCAAGCAAGACAATGTTTGACAAAACAGATGCGTTCTCACTGGACGAAAGACTTAGACATAAAAACCCTGGAAGCAAGAAGAAGTTGGGCAACGCTTGCTGAACTTCAGATGGTAATTCCCTTTCACGTAGAGCGTTACAAGCAAATCCTGGAAGCATGCAAGAAATAATTTCTCACACCAACCGACTTAACTTTCGCCACACGGTTTGTTGCAGTTTTCATGTTTGTGAAAGTTAAAGGTTGCCAACCGATGACCTATCAACATTTGACGATAAATATGTTTGAAAATGCAAAAATCAATGATGGAATGGTCGATCAGACCGTTTTCAAAACAGCACAAAAGTATGTTTTCAATTCCCTATACTTTGACAAGATGAGCTTGGCAATTGTAGATGACTACGTTCAATTTATCAGGCCATTGCTTAATCCGCAATGCGATTACTTGCTGTTAAATCGAAACGGTGGGCAATTTCAAAAGCTTACCGAACCGCTCGGCCTGCTAGTTTTCCAAGCTATAGGAAAGTACATTAATCTGACGAGATATAGGCAAATTATCGAAACAGAAAGCGCAAGCAGTTTAGATGTACAAGAACAACGATTTGTCTCAGAGGACCAGAAACACAGCTCAAATGTAGCAAGAGTTCATTATCAGAAGCTGCGATCTCTTGATGTCGCTTTAAAGGGACAATCCTGCATGGAAAAGTTGTGCACTCCAAATGGAAAAGTTATGGACAAGTGCGTGGAGCAACTGACACAAACCGAGTCCAACGTTGCTGATCATGGGGTAGAAGGTATGGAGACTGATATTGAAAACAATGATTTCTTCCCGAATCCCGTGAGTGCATCGCCAAATCGTGCGAAAGAGAAAACAAGTACAGACACAAGGGGAGCAATTCGGTTTACCCAAGAGGAAGATAATTATCTGAGAAAAGGAGTGGAAAAGTTTGGCATGCGATGGACTTCCATTCTGAATTGTTTTTTGTACAAATTTTAAGAATGCAGAATACCAAGTACATTAAGAATGAGAGCAATAAGGCTAAAATTACTTTAAAAATCGAATTCATGTTATGATAAGTGAAATATACTGCGGTATAGTGATTAAGCTACATGTTTATAATTATTGTTTTCTTTCAACTGAAACGGCTGGTCCCAAAAATTTTGCCTGCAAGGTCATTATAGGAACAGGGGGTTTCCCTTATTGAATTTTGTAATGACAGATCCCTGCGTGCAGTTAAATGCCGAATTATAGTAAATGCCTAAAATTGAACGCATGCATGTATTCTTGTCCGATCGTTCAATGTAGGATATTCAAACGTTCTTTAGTGCACGAGAACAATGCATGCATTTGTTCCTATCATAGAGTTCATAAATTTATGATTGAATGTTTGCTGTCGTTCCTTTACTTAAAAGCAAACTATAAAAAGTTCCCATTCATGTTTCCTTAGTATATAGGGGACAAATAGTTCCTAATATGCAGTTCCTAAAAATAAGGAACGAGTTTTTGCAGTTCCTTTACATAAAATAATCTATATGTTCTTATTGAAAACGTTCCTTAATCCATTCAGAACTTACTGTTCCTTTTGAAAGTTCTTTTATGTAAGGGAACAAATGTGTGTAGTTCCTAAACACAATCGGTCCATAAAGTTCCATTTATCACGTTCCTAATAACCAAAACAAACAAAAGCTTATATCATACTGGTCCTTAAAATTGCCTC